GCGGCACCCGAGGCGCCCGGAGCTGCGCGGGCCCCGGAGGCGGCGGCGGGAGCGGCCCCGCACCTCGACCTGAGCGAGCTCCGCTCCCTCGCCTGCGACGCGCTCCTGCAGGAGAGCTTCTACCAGGCCAAGAAGCGGCCTTTCCTCTACCGCCAGCAGGAGCACACGCCCGGCCCCTTCCTCACGCAGCTCGTGTCAACCCTCACCGCTTCGCTGTGCGGTCGCAACCCGCTGCTGGCCGCCTCCTCCCTTGGTGCGTGACAGGGGTGGTAGGGAGAGGGAACTGGGAGCCCGTGGGCAGTGGGGTGGCTCTGTGAGCCCGCAGGAGTGTTGATGGTGTAGCTGAGTTGTTTAGACCATCACGAGCCTCCGTCATTGCATGTGATGCACGTGGATTTTGATTTCTCTGCTTTTCTGCAGCAAAAGGACTGGAATTGGGAAAGTTTTAAAAGTAAAGAGGCAACTTCTGTTTCTCTGTATCCCTCTGGTCTGTTTCAGATCTAAAGCCTGAAGTTAACTATTACTGGCATCATGGTGAGGAAGTTGTTGTTCATGGACATCGGAAGGGTAGAGTTGACCCTGTGCGCTTTCAGATAGATGATAAGCCCCACCTGCAGATCCGGGTACCAAAGCAACTGCCAGAGGTGTGGATGTTTTCAACAGTAACTTAATCAGTCACATTTTTACTTTTGTTTCTGACAGCCACTCAAACCATACAGTAGGTAGTTTGTGGAGGACCTGATTAATCAGGCATGTAGGATGTTTATGCATTTTTCAAGTGTTAATGCTCTTCCTACTGTGTTAATTTTTTTTTAGATCCTAAGTATTTTGATCTTCAAGTTGGTCATCTTTGTGCTTCAAATAGAATGTGTGTGGTTGCACTTAATAAAATGGAGTTTCTGACTTTGTTTTGTGCTTGTAAGCGGGGGCAAGAATGTGAAAGGTAGTGTGGAATGCTCTCAGTGGAGAAGAATGATGTGAAAATAATGGAGAAGAAAATGGAGTAAGAGATACCACACATGATCTGAGTACCTTTGTTACTTGTTTGTTCTGCTTGATGGTTGGTCCTTTGAATGCTCAGTTTTCTGGAAGCTAATTGAATATAACCTTTTTCTTGTAGGCTTATACAGTGGTGGTTGTGTACGCTGCGAAGGTCTCTCTTGCCCAGTTTCTATTACAAACAGTAAATGCTGAATGTTTCTTGCTAACTTAATTGTACCATTTTCTTAGGCTAGTACTGGCAGATGTTACAAACCTTGGCACTTTGGAAGAACTGTCTAGGCAATCAGAAATGTTACATACTGCAGAACATGCCTAACTCACTCTGCTGGTTCAGGATACTTCAGTGACTGTTGCTAGAAGTGTTTTACTCATCTTCTACAGAAGCAGATTTTAGTTTTGAAGATACCACCTATTGGCAACTTCCTTAGACCCATATCACACAATGTTTTTTGCATTGCAGAACATTCAGACATCAGTATGAGATGAGTGTACTAGCACTTATCACAAGACAAGAAGTTGTATGTAAGCAAGACGTACACCTTCTGCTGTCTGACCAGAGAGTGGCATTTTAGGGTTCGCCATCAAGAAGGCAGGGACAATCTCTTTTCACTTGTGCCCTGTGATAGGACGAAGGGCAGTGGATTCAAACTCGAGCACAGGAAGTTCTACCTCAACATGAGGAAGGACTTCTTTACTGTGAGGGTTAGAGAGCATTGGAACAGGCTCCCCAGAGACATTGTGGAGTCTCCTTCTCTGGAGACTTTCTAGACCTGTCTGGATGCCTTTCTGAGTGTGATCTGCCCTGTTTTGTTGGCTTTTTGGTCCTGCTCTGACAGGAGGGTTGTACTCAATCTTCAGAGGTCCCTTCTAACCCCTGATACTCTGTAATTCTGTGATTCTGATGTCAGAAACTTGACTTGTGTCATGGTTTTTCTTTCTTCTGCGTCCTTCAAGATTGTAGCACTGGAGTCAGATGTTGGAGATGTTCCTGTTATTGATCACAAGCCATCCAAACTGCCATTGTTCAAAAAGCAGTACGAAAACAAGGTGTTTATAGGTAAGAGTTTGTAGTCTTGAAATGTTAAGTACTGCTTTTGCATAAAAACAACCTCAAACCAAACACCATCACCCAGTGTTTCTCCTCACATCAACAGAAAAAAACAATATATTTTTATATGTAACTATATTGTGTATATACATGAATATAGTATTTAAATCTCTATTGAGATTCCACGTCAGGTAGGCAGTGGGGAGTAGTATCCTCCTATGTGTGCTGCTACTCTTGTGTCCAGATTTGCTTGAAGGAGTTGGGTGGAACAGCAGATTGGCAGAAAACTGGAGTTGTATTTTGATACATCGCCTCAGAGGTATTTTAGTGTGTGAATTCTTACCTTTTGGAGTTGGACAAGCCATCCAGTCTCACCCAGTAATGGAGGAATCTCAGCTTTTTTACAGATCTACAGATCTAGAAGTTATAATTTTTTGTTTGGAGTCTGATAGTAAAGACACATTTGTATGCATAATAAAGGATGTCCTCTGACTGCCTGTTAATTTTTTTCATTTTGGGGGAACACAGGATCAAAGGTAGCAGATCCGTGCTGTTATGGACACACCCAGTTTCATCTTATTCCTGATAAACTAAAACGGCAGAGGTTTGTTAGAGCAAATCTGGAGGATCAGATTGAAGTTCTTTATCGAGCTAATGGTATTGCAAGTCTCTTTGCTTGGACAGCAGCACAAGCAATGTATCAAGGTGAGAAAGTCAACCTAGTAAATTCTTCCTGGTGATGAATGCCAAATGTAAAGTTCTCTAACCTTTTTTCTCCACCTCCTTTTTCTCATGCTTTTTATTTTTTTCTGAAAACCATCCTTCAAATAGGTGCTTGAAAATTTAATTGAACCAATGAGTGAAGTAGACCTTATACTAGGGGCTGGTTAGGACTTTGTGTTTGAGTACTTGTATTTACAGATAATGAATTATGCAGAAAAATATTTTTTAACTTTAAAATAACAAGCTGTACAAAAACCTCAATCCTGCTTTCTCTTGCTCACACCACATTTGTTATGGGGAAGGGTGGTAGATATCAAGCTGTTTGTTTATTTCTTTATTTTTTTCTGAAACAAATGTTGCTTAGCGCCTTATTTCAGAAATATCCATTAATGAAATCCTACAGAGAGTGAAAGAAAGCTATCAGCAGTTTTACTTTAGGATGTTATGCCTTTGTTTGTCAAAAAAACCCCAGAAAACCTGGATTTATAGACCAGATAAGGCTTTTGCTTGTTTATGTGTATATATAATTTTTATCTAGTGTTACTAGAAGATACTTGCTGCCTTGTAGTTTCACTGGTGTAACAACACATGGAGGAAAATCTGTTTACTATGATATGTATTGCTGGCTCCGCATACTTTTTAAAATTAAATATTATGTTAGAAGTACTGGCTTTTTCTGTGGATGTAGAGCATTGAAGTCAGGTAAGTCTTGTCTTTAAACTCGTTGCAGTTTTAAGGACAGTGCAATTCAAATCTATGGAATTTTTTCTTTATACTGTAGCAGGTTCTAGCAGTGTTCATTGCACATAACATATTTTTAAAAATTTTTTATTGTGTGTGCTAGCACACATGCATAAATATGTGAAGAAAATACTTGAAGGAGAGTTTTCATGCTCAGTGGGGCTTTTTAGAAGCATTTATACTTAAATAATGTGATTTTCATGGTGTTTTTTGGCTGTTTACTGTAGTCAGTTATGTTCATGCATACACATATGTGCTTCTGGCATGAAACAAGTGTTCAGTGCCCTGTGAGAAGCATGGAATGGTCAAAAGATGTTTCCCCTCAGTAATTTGCAGGTCCTGAATGCATTAATAACACAGTTTTCAAAAGTCACTTGGCTGATCAGTGTGGGGTTTTGTGTCAGCAATAGGGAATTATGTGCAAAATGCAAATATGCCTCTGTGTCCCTCCGTGATCTTGGAAGTATCCTTAATTGGTGCTTCCATTGTAGTTAAGTCTCTATGAAGAATACTTGTATTGTTAAAGCAGTCAGGAGGTTTTCCCCTACAGAATGGCTGCTGCAATCCTCATTATTTTTCTGTGTTTCAGCATTGGGTATTAGATGTGTGTGCTCGTAGGAATTTCATGTTCTGTATAACTAATATAGTTTTTTTGTTTTGTAGGATTCTGGAATGAAGCAGATGTGACCCGTCCTTTTGTATCACAGGCAGTAGTGACTGATGGAAAATACTTCGCTTTCTTTTGTTACCAGCTAAATACTTTAGCACTAACTGTAGAAACTATTAAAAATAACCCCCGGAAGAATATCTGTTGGGGTACAGACAGTAAGCCATTGTATGATGTTGTGGAAGATGGTACTGTGAAAGGCTTTAATGATGAAGTTCTGCTTCTGTTGGTTCGTTTTCTGTTGAACAGACCAAAAGAGCTGTAAATCATTAAACAATAAAGTATTAAACAATAAAGTATGTGCCTGAACTTTGTAACTCAATAAAGCATGGGCTAGAATATCCCTTGTTTTAGTCAAGTGTTTGTCTAGGGAACAGTATATGTATGTATCTTATGATATTTGAGTCTTGTTTATTTTAAATGTCTGATACTGTACACTAAAAATTAAAGGTCTAGAGTACCTTACTGGCTTTATATGTTTATACTGTCAGAATTGTATTACATCAACTGAAAGTCATGTGAGTACTTTCTTGTAGGAGATCCGTGGCTTTGTGTTGAGCTGTCACAGCAAACTACAAATTTATATGGCCATGTGATTATGTTGTTAGGTAACTGCTGTCTTCATATTCAGGACCAGTGAAAAATTTCTGATTTTCTTTCTGAGAAGAAATCACTTGTTTTAAATTCTTATGCATTCAAAAGAGAAAATTAACTTGGAACACACAGCGTTTCTTAACAGTGAGTGGTTGGCAACTTAGTTACATAAGAAGTGAAATATTTAGACAGTTACTGAGCAGTTGTCTAAACAAGATAAAAATATTCATCTAAAGATTCTGTTATGAACATGCATGCACATTTTTATGGTGTTACTGCAGGAACCCCGGAGAGGACTCTAAAATGCATTCTGAGTCAACAGTTTTCACTTCTGCTTCGCACCTTTGTATGAGCTGTAGACATCTTGGATGTTTTCATTGCTGATACTTGGATGTTTTGCTGTTTTCAGTAGACCACAGCTGAACCAAAACCATGATTGGTGTCTCTGATTAGTAGGAACAGGACTGTTAGGAATACTTACTTATCAACAATGTATATCTGATTTTAAAATCATAAAAGCATGCCTAGAATTTTATGTAGTTCCTTACATGAACGATGAGGTAGTTGTAGAATCTTATTTAATTGGTCCTTTGCTATGTTGGAATGAGCTGTAGTTGCAACTTTTTCCACCAGTGGAGGGTACTCTAGATGAGTAAGATGTACACGAGTACTATTTCTTTTTAACAGGAGTAAAGAGTCCTTATGTGCTCTTTTTCTCTTCACAGTGCTTGAGTTCTACTTGCTGATGATCCTTGGATTAAATTTACGTTCCATGTAGGAAGAAAAGATAAACTGTTGGGTAGACAAGTGACCTAGCTGAAAAGTGAGTGATTGATACTGGTTTTCTGCTGTGATAAAGGGATGGAAGGACATTAAAAACAAACAGTTGGATATTCTGACTCAAAGGACAGTCTTTACAGTTGGTGGAATATGGTGTTACCTTTGTGTCCCTGGTGGAACGGGTGACAGACAAGACGTATGTGCAGTAATCAAATTCTACTGTGTATAATGTTGGGGTCTTAACTGGATGAGAGGCACAAGTACAGCAAAAGCGTAGGGAAATTGGGAGATAACGACAAGTGTGGTTTGAATACAAAGAGTATATTAGCAGTGAATTTTACTACCTACAATTAAATCAAACAATAAAAGTTAACCACTAAAATGCTGGCAACTTGTTATAAAATTCTATGCTAGGTCTAGAATATTAATTATCACTTTTAAAGGGTTCTACAGTCTTAATAGTGAAGATTACTTAACGTTTACTAATAAAGACAGTGAAAGAGTTAATATTTCTCAGCTGGATGTCCTTGGATGGATCATAATTCTCGAGAATCAGTCCATCTGGAAGAGAGAAGGTCCAGCAACTGTGTTGTTCAACACCAGAGAGCAGCTGGGGTTATGCACATCCACTTTGCCTCTGTACCTTTCAGGGTTGTTACCAGCTCAGAGTTTGCTAGGCCTTTTCTCTTATGGAAATCTTTTGCTTTATGTCTGGGCCTACAAAACCGAGAGGCAAAAAGCAGTTGAATCGTAAAGGGAAACTGCGGCAGACATATTGAGAGATGGAGTGTCCTACTAAACTTTGGCTTGAAACTTTGTAAGTTGCATACAAGTAGTAGCTGTGGAAAGCTGTAATAAAGTCTCCTGCTCCTAGGGTAAAAACACTACTAATTTTTTTGCATTTCAGCCTTTGTCTATCCTAGGCTTCAGCTGTGATAGATCAAGTTGAAAGTTGTTTTTTTTCCTTTGTGCAGCTTTACTAATGATTGAAATACCACTAGGTAGATGTTTAACCTAGTAGAAGAACCCAGTGCTGGAGTGAGGGAGGAAAGGTTTGTGTGAGCCGGCTATTTTGTAGTTGTGAAGTTCCAAATTCAGGTTTCTGCAGCTGTCTTAAAAGGCAAGGGGATACCCTGGAAAAGCAATGGGTGACACTGCTTTACCTTCTGCTGAGGAAAGAAGTGTAATGGGCATTGTGCTTTTTTGTCACTGACTGGTGAAGTTGAGACTTCATGTATGCAGTTTTCTGCAGTAATCTTTCATCTTATCTGTTCAGGGTGTTTAATGCTGCCTTTGAATGATATTTTTTTTTCTGTAAGGGTTGTCTACATCATAAATGTTTAAAAGTAGAAAGCTTAGAAGCTGTAGCGTTCTTATTCTTGAGCTTTGCTCAGCAGAAACTTCTCATGTTCTACTCCATAAGTCTCATGGGAGCATTGTTCTTTAGCATTCTATTTTGTTGAGTTTGCTGTTTAAAATAAAGGTGATTCAAAGAGCACAGAATGGGAATCTCCCGAGTTAGGATACCTTTTCCTGTATTAATTTCTGCTTAGGCCTATTGGAGTGTATTACAAAGGCACATAAAGCAAAATCTAAAAATAAGATTTGGTTTTAAATAATGAGGTGAGTATCTCCTCAAGTACTGAACTATTTTGCTCAAAACCTTTATCACCTTCAAGTGACTTTCTGTTTAATTCTACCTGTACTGTTGTTTCAGATTATGGGGCTACGATTAGTGACTTGAAATGGAACTGTCTAAGCAGCCTTTCCTGAAAGTAAAGTGGAGAGGGGCAGCTGGGAAGCCTGAAACTTTTCCTCTATCTATACAGGATCATGTTGCACAAAGTTGTTCAGGTAGACTTGTTTCATTTAAGACAGGAGAAATAGCTTCAATATTTACAGTGTCTGCTTGGTTGTGCAGAGGTGCCTCCTGCTACCTCTTCTGTAACCAGGTTTTCTGTCGTTGGCTAAAATGAAGTCCTCTGTGTCTGGGACCAGGGAACAGCAGACATGAGACAGGGATGGGTTTTTTCCACATTTTCTATTTTCCAGTCAAGTTTCATTCCCACCAAAACCCAAGAAAGGCAGTCACCATAAAGCAGAACATAAATTGCTGACAAAGAAAGGGTAGGGAATTGCTAATAGAGGTTTGTTCCTGTGTTTTCATGACTGACCCTTGCTTTTGGTAACTCGTGGATAATACTGAATAGTGGCAGAGTGAAATCTGACAAGTCTGGTATTGGTAGCAGGAAGCTGCTCCCATAGTCGCTTTTGTTAAATGATGGCAAGTGCAGGCAAGACTGTATTTGACAGTCTCATACAGGTTGAGGTTATATCAAGAACATGACAGAAATGAGAAGGTGCTTAGCCAGGTCTAGGTGGATTTGGTTTGAGATATCTGTCAGGTGGATCCTTGAGGGGAGTTCCTGGCAGAGCTGATAATCTTGTAGCTGGTTAACCATGGGAGAGGTTCCAGATAGTACTGAAGAAGCCTATGCTCTTCTGATTCTGGAAATCCTGGACCATGAGCTCTTGGAGGATGTTAGCAAATGGAGGCCACTAATGATTACAGGAATTGTGCTTCAGCCCTTCTCTAGTGTAGTGACAAATGTAAATTTTACCTGGTAAATGCATGTTACCATGGATTTGCAGAATAGTTTCTTGGAAGTCTTGGCTGGCTCACATCTTAAAATTGGCTAAGAAGAATTACAAGCTACAAGGAGTTGGTGTGTGGACACGACTAACACATTCATTAATGCATGTTGTGATGCAAATGGAGGAAGGAACCTTAGTACATCCTCCTATAGAACAAGAGTTTAGAATTCAATAATTTATTAATATCTAATTCAGAATGAAGGCTGTCTAAAGTCTGACATGCTATCCAGCCTGATAACTAACCCCTTGGTCTTGAAGCTGGAGTTTGGAGATGGGCAGTGAACAATTGTTATCTCAGCTTTTATGATGACCTAGGCAGGCCACTTAAAACCAGTAGCCGTTGCTCTATGAGGAGATTATTTACAGCCTTTACAAATAGTCCTTGAGGAAGGCAAAGAGGTAGAAGAACACTTGGTGTGCTTTTTTTGTGTCTCTGCAGGACTAAGTGCTATCTAGCTTATGCTATTGAAAGATAAGTATTTTTTCCAGATAGGACAGACAGCTCAATGGTGTCTGCTCAGCTATATTGACCTGTAACTATCTGCATTAGATTTTAATCTGTCCTTTTTTTTTTTTTTTTTTTTTTTTTCCCCCAGTTCTGTCTGGTTTCTGCATAATTTGAAGATTCTGCTTTTAGCTGAAATATTCTTTGAATGAACATTCAATATTTCTTTTTGGTCTTTTAATAACTGTTTGAAGTTCAATTTATTGAACCACATCTCCTGCTACAGAATCTCCTCTGTATTACCTTTCACTTACTAAGTCATTCTTGATTTCATTGATTTCTTTTCTGGTATAGCAAGAAGAGTTGCTCTTAATGTGTCTTCTTTAAAGGAAATCTTCCTTCCATTTCTTCCTCTTTTTTTCTTTTAACATAACTTTAAGTTGAGATCAACTTGGTACACTGTTTCACTGCTCCCAAGGGGCATGATACAGGATCGCTTTCACTGTTGTAAGGTGTAGCTTCTAACACAAAAGAGTGTCTGCACTGCAAATGTACATGCTTTTGTCAGTCAGATATCCCAGAGCAGGTTTAAATTTCAACCTCAGATTTCAGCCTGTAAAGGCTTTTTGTTTGGTTGTGCTTTTTTTTTTTTTTTTTTTAAAGTAGCTTCTGCACAAGCACATTTCTCTAGGTAATTGAAGGGGATCAGGTGTTGGAATTTTAAAACTCAAGTTCTGGGATTGTTTAGCCTGGTGAAGAGAAGGCTATGGGGGGGTCTTATCAGTGTGTGTAAATACCTAAAGGCAAAGATACTCAAACCCACACTGATCAGCCCTGAAGCCCTGGGTAGCCTGCTGTAGATGATGGGGCTCTCAGGATGGGTGGATTAGTCAAGAGGTGCCCTCGAA